CTGTAATAAATTTCCTAAATACGTACGTGTAGAACCATCACGCACCCATGCATAATCCAAGGGGGGAAATTGAACTGTTACCATCACACAATGAAATATAATAATAATAAAAGAAAAAATAAAGCTAATTGTGTAATCAAATATAGAGTACAATATATCTAGGTACTCATATCAATTACTACCTCTATCTCATAATAATTATACGTATTTCTAGGATTTGAATTTGTCACAAAATATTTTTTTTGACTGGGAATTTGTCACAAAATAGTTGTTACGATAGAGTACTAATGGTCTTATTAATCACTTCTCATTTAAATTTCTTCATATTTTACCGTCGTGTGAACAATCTCACACAGAGACACCTCAAGCTCGCCCAGCCATGGTGAAGAACAGTACCACAACCTCGTCTAAGTATAGGGACAATTGCAAATTTACCACTACTTTGAATCGTTATTGCAAAACTGCCACTAGAAAATTGTAAAAATGCTACTAGAACCATCATTCGAGTGGCATCCTTGTAATATTGAAAAAACCGGTGGCAAATTTACAAATGCCCCCTAAGTATATGGAGGAGGCGGTCGTGAGATCATGTTAGAGGCGGTGCAACAACGGAGCTCGTAAAGGAGGTAGGAGGTGGCATACTGGCATCTATAAGTTCTCTGATCTGTCCCCAGTGTGCAGTGCCTGGCAACTTGAAGATCGAGATGGAGGGGAAGAGAAAAAAGAGAGGTACGTGGATGATGACAGCTAAGCTGGCGTGGGTCCAAATGTTGTTTTATTACGGAATTTACACGTAGACAAAAACCATTTTGACGTAACCATAAATTAAACGGTTTCATATGTCGATAGATATCAAATACCACGTTTTGAATTAGAGGGAGCTCAAATGGACTTATCCCACTTACAAGTGGACTTTAAGGGTGATGACTTCCTCCTTCATCTTTACCTATTTAAAAAATTATAGATGACTCTATACTTAATTCGTTTTGTCTTTCGTCCGTGGCGTATAAGAAAAGACGTATGTCCCTATTCGATCGCTTTGTCCGCTCATGTCCAACACCGTCTTTATCGCAAAGTGTGATAGAACATCCTCGTCGAAGCTGATCTGGATCAAGCGGCCGTGTCCATGTTGCTCGGTGGTGGACTGGTGGTGAGCAACTACTTTCTCCGTTTCTCACGAATAACTTACACTGTGAAACGGAGGAAGTACTAGATTTCTTTTGTATGTATGACAATGTTATTTCAGCCTTCTGCAGTGATGGTTTCCTTAGTTGCAAAGAAAATTTTTTGGTTTTATAGTTAGGCTGGATATCTGTTCTTTGGAGTGGATGTAATTAGTTACTGAGTTTTGTTGAACCAGGCAATAATAATAAAAACGGTTCCATGCATCGGGCTGTATGTTTTCACCAAGTGACGAACGAAAGCAGGTGAGTACACAATCATCTTGAATTTTTTAATAGGAAAAGATAAAACATATCTTAAAGTACAATTAAATTTGATATATAACTCTTTTTTGTTTCTCTACTATTATAAAAATTAAAGATGTTTTTACCGGTACTTTGGTACGTCATCCGTGTATGAGTCGGTTTTTAAGTTCGTTTGTTTTTGAAAATACATATTCGTATTTGAGTTAATTTTTTATTTTTAAGTTCGTTCGCTTTTGGAAATACAGGAGTTGTATAATGATTTTTTTTAGAAAAACTCGCATGCTAATTTGAGACGATCGGATTCCTAATTGTAGCTCATAATTTTCTAAAAACATAATATATATCCAAGCGAATTCTCACAGAACTAAACTGTATAACAATAATAATAAGATTAAAATAACATTCACCCGTTGCAATGCACGGGCATTTTGTTCTATATAAACAAAATTATATTATTCATTGCAATTAAAATACCAATATATACCATTATATTATTCATTGTTTTTATCCGTTGCAACGCACATGCATTTTTGTTAGTTAAAGAAAAACTATGAAATTCATACACGACCAATCCATCTAGAAACTATACAATGCCACATACACTACAATCAAATAAATTCCATTATCTAAAATAAACATACACTACAATCCAATAAACACATTTATTGTTTGCCTCCTGGTGCAGCGAGAGAATCTGTAGTTTAGAGCAAATTATGGCTGTGTTATATTTACTATGGTACCTCACAGTACCACCTAGATACCATGAGGTACTAAATTTTATACTAAAATTTTAGTATCTCATGGTACCTCCTAAAAGACTGTAAAATTACTCTATTTACTAACATGAGTCAAGCAAAGTTGACCATGTTGCCTTTATGGCCATCTCAATGCCATCCAAGTTGTCGGCCATTTGTGTACTCGTCCCATCCTTCTGCGGTGTAAGACTCCTGCTCTCACACAAAAATTCTTCAAGATCAAAACGTACACAGCCCGGAAAATAATCACTAATAACACCATCAGGAGTGTGACGGGCATCATCTAGTTGGTCTTGGTACGCGTAAACGTAAATGTGCATGTACCCATCATGGTTCACAGGGAGTGTGAACGGTGGTAGCTTGCCAACACTCAACTTGCCATTGAAGGTTATGAAGGAACCCTGAAACATATTGTAGGTGGCAGCTATTGTAAGCGAATTATATTGGTGGTTCTCTTCAATATGGTACACCTCAAACTCCAAACGAACCAATACCGCTCTGGGGATAGCAACCATTCTTAGATCAAGAGTGCTGAAGTGACCAGTGTCGATGTGCCAATGGAGCCTTTCAAGTTCTCCATAGAAAGATGGAGCGTAGATAGAGTAGCCATCGATTAATACTTCATCTTCTCCCTCTATTTGGCCCTTAATAATTAAGGAATACTCAATAAGTACAAGTCCAACTGCATAAATGCCTCGTGAAGGGGTTATGAGAGGTTGCAGCTTATGAGCACCCTGCATATAATATATTTTTGGATAGAAAAAAAAGATCAATTAGAATGTTCTTCAGAAAAAATAAGTTATATGCAACAGTACGTATATTCTTAGATGGAAGCAAGGGAAAAAAATGTAGAACATCAATTACTCACAGGGTTAAGTTTGCATGGGTTTTCTCTTGAGTATTCAAAGATACAGTTGCGTAGCTGGCTGTTGCGTACATCTCTAAATGCGAACGTACCATAGATCTCCATTGAATCATTAGAAGGAGAAGATAAATCTAAACTGAACACTTGGATAGCCCGACAGCATGGTTCCTTCCCATCCCCATTCACCCAGCGGCTTTCCCACTTCGGCAGTTGAGGAACTGCAAGAAAAGAGAAAAATATCACCATGTATCAGTACGTACATATTCACAATCCGTAAAATGCCAATGTGACTAAGAAAATATATATAGTTGGTGTCAGCTGGATTAATTTGTAGCATGCAGACGCACAGAGATGCTCCACAGATACTCGATTTGGATCCACTTGGAATTGCCCCTCAACCTGAAGTGACCCCTCCCAAACAAACGAGAAATCGCATGTAGCGTTTGCTTTGGGCACTGGAAACTCCATCTTTCCTAGGATTTCATTCTCCCATTTCTCCTCCCTATCAGCAGCGTAATAAGGGTTCCCATCTTCGTAGTAAAATTCATGCCCGTATCCAAAAAAGCTATGCCCTTCATCCGCATCTGCATATTCTACATCAGAGTCATATTCATATAGATCACTTGCTCCACATATATCACTAAGTTCATCTGAATCGCTATCTTGAAGGTTAAGTTCTTCGTCTTGCTCCTCGCTTTCCCTTAGCAGTAAGTCTAACTCATTGTCCCACAGCTAGGTATTGAGCACCTCACGATCAACCTTGTCTCTCAGAGAAGCCAAATCCATGTCGAACTCCACACCCTTCCTCGGTGTTTCAGAGTCGATGTCTGGAGACTCTGTTATACGAATTCAGACCCAATATAAATATTAGTATTGGCAATAAGTACGAGAAAAATGAATTTTTGAACACCTCAAATTATGAAAAATTCTACAAGTTTGACAACACAAAATACTACACAAACATATAGGACTAAATTTAATTCTCATATAAAAAAATACTCCATAAGCCACATTAATATATTATTTGCCACTCTACAGGGGACTCGGTACCCTTATTTGACATTGAAATGCTAGGTAGGAAATAAAAATTTCTATAATTGTACTTTTCATGAATGGGGATTGAAATATAACCCAACATACTTATATCGTCGAATCTATTAATATTTATTATTTGTATAACACGCATAATATATGAAATTATACTTTCCCCAATGCAAGATATACACACACACACACACTCACTCCAAGGTCCAAACTCTAAAAGGATAAGAAACAAAGGGTTAGAAGAAATAATACAAATAGCAAATCCCAAAAATTGAAACAACCCTTAACCTTTTCGACGCCCCTCCATAATCTCTCGAGGCTCCTCCACCTACGCCGATCGGCGGATGGACTCGGAGATGATTTTCAGGTCGATCGACAAAGAGGATCGGCCACCCAGGCGTTAGTAGACTCGATGTCGTAGCCGTAAATTTAACCGCAGCCGCCGAGCAAGCCGGTGCCTGGACTTGTATACGAGATATTCAGATATATATATAAGCTGCGCGTGTGCCGGCGTATCGTCGTCGTCTCGAAACCGAGGGTAAGTAGGATTAGCAGCCTGGACGGACAGCTCGATCGAAACCTAGGGATAATAGGAAACGAACTTGTTCTCTCTCACGTACGAACTCGTGCCCCCAATTTTTGTGGAAACAAATTTGGTAGATACGGGTTGTAATCCCGTGCAGCCTGCCGCAGATCGTCGCGGAGTGGCCGCAGTATCGGTTGGATCTGGATGGTACTCCCGCTCGGCTCCAAGCCTCCAGGCGCGCGACGCCGAGTCTGTAAGCGCGCGGCACTCGATCGGGCTCGGCTCGCGTCGAACCAGAAAGCGTCGAGCGGATGACATCGACGGGCGCAACACCATCAGGGATTCAGGGCCACGTGCATTTTTCATGCCATCAAAAATTCTTGTATACAGGCCCAAATAGATGATAGACTTGGGCTCTGGAATTATATTGTTTATGCATATTCAAGCCCCAACGGAAAAAGGAAAAAGAAAATGAAGCGGAGCTTACAGTACACACATGAAAATTCCTTCAGCCGGGCATTGATAGCATACATGATACATCATGAATAAACCATCACTATCAGAACGTCGAAAACCACCATGCATAAACCATGCATGCGAGAGTAACATCCTGGCCATTAGTAGCATATGCATGGGAAGACATCATACTACAGTAACATCACACATGCATTCATACATGAATGCCATCTATAGTTTGTCAATATCAGAAGACATACTGCTACCGGAGCCCAGCAACATCAGAAGACATCATAGTACCATCACACATGCATACATGAATAGCACATTCTATTAGATTTAGAGCACCATCAAACGTCCAAAACAGTGTCTCGTAGTGTTCTGATTATCTTCCTTTCTGCTACATGTGCCAAACGTGTCGTGGGTTGGAGAAGTCTGATGTTTTTCGCCGGGCCAGCGATAGAAGCCGGGGTGAGTTTATTAAGGTTGGGAAAACAATTGCAATACTGCAGGGTTAACATGGTTGCTGGATGGCAATCTTGGCGCTAAGCCAGATTACTGAAGAAGAGCTAAGGTGGCGCCACGGCCAGCAGATATACACACGGTAATGACCAGTTATATTTAGTCCAGCTCCGGCCAGGCCGGCAGCTCGTTTTTTCCAAACCATCAGGTGATCAAACAAACTGCCAAAGTCCCATTGTGTTCCAGCGAAAGAATGGTGTTTTTCTCCTTTGTGAATTCACCTTCATGTGGAAGAATTTAGTGTTGGCGTCATCATGCTTGATGTGGGTCAGCCGAGAATGCTGACGCATCCGTATCCTTTCCAACGATGCTAGGGCTGATGTAGAAAGTTAATTTCTGCTACATAGCTCATAGCTATGTGTTCAAAAGATTGCAAAGATAATGTGAACGTACTTGTGTCAACCTGAACATTGCTACCTCTACTCAATTCCCAGATCTGCAGAAGGGTGGCACTGTGTAAGAGTTCTGCTCATATTGTAAAATGCAAAAGGGAAAGGGAGTAACATTTTGATCTAACCTTTTAAGCTGACCCCCTCCTCAGCCTTGTTGCACAAGACGAGCAACGGATCTGTTGAAGGAAAAATACTCATTGCCTTCCTTTTCTTCTCAGCAACTAGATTTTCAAATAACTTCTTGTGCTTTGCTTTCAATTCTTCATGTTTATGATAAAGCTTGATTAGAAAACAATAATTAGTTAGTATAATTTAGCCAATACTAGCATATTAAAGGTAAATTCGTAGTTACCTTATCATTTTTTTTGGCATGCTTTTCCTTTCTCATTACGTTGTATAGCTTCATTTTGAATTTGGGAGGATTGTGTACTCAACGACAATAATCCATCAACGGATAATAGCACCTTAACCTCCTTTTTGCCCTCTCTTGGATCCAACTTTAAGTGTGAGGTATGCAAAAACATCACAAGCTTTAGTTAAAATAGGAAGTTCCCCTTCAACAATCTGAACTGCTGTGGACAAAGAGCTCGCTTGGAGTGCAATCTGGGCTGCACATGGTATATTTGAATGATGTTCCAACACGCGATTTATTCCACCCATTACTACAACTCCAACAGAAGCGTGCAAACAACCTGATAAAGCAACAAGTTCACGATCCTTAACAGCAAGTTTACTTCCAGGAAATGCATCCCCCTTGATAAACTCAATGTGTTTTATTGCCAAATTTGGATCTGTTGTCCAGCAATCGTCTGCATAGAATTCCTTGCTTTTGACAAGAGCTTGCTCCTGGAAATCCCATACTTTTGCTGCGATATGAAGAGATCTTAAGATCAATCTGGATGCACTTGCCCAGCCATTGATATGAGTTGCCCCCACATAGCCCAATGGTTGGAGCTGTGCACCAACCCTTGAATTCAAAGATTTCAAAATAAGACGAGATATGTAGCTGTTTTTCAAACTTTCTGCTGAGAAAATGATCAGGGCTGCCATTGCTCTCTTGTGTTTTGCTGAGTAATTGTATCGGTCAAAATGTGCCAAATCCTGGACCATGTTTTTCATTACGCTATATCCCACCTGAAAACGTGACAATTCATTTGGTTCTTTGCCTACAAGGTCACCATAGTTGCTGTTGTGTTGTAGAAGTATTGAGCCTTTAATATACTTCTTTGGCCTTGGTGGCGCATTTTCCTTCACCACATGTTCCTTGCTTGAACTTGCTAATTCATACTTGTCTCTTTGCTTGTTTTTCTTATCCATCTTCTCACGCTTCTGGTCCTCTATAATACCCTCCTCCCTTGTTTTACCTTTCTCATTTATAGAACCCTCCAGCATCTGCATCTCCTCCTTATCGTCAAATTCATAGATTTGGCCATCAGCAGTCCTAAATCCTCTCATCCACATGTTTTTTCCTTCCACTATGGCAGTTACAGTTGAAGCACCATCAGTAAAGGCTACAGCAAAGACTTCAATCCCTTCTGGGGTAATACAGAATTCCTTTCTCTTGGAACCAGTACCCTTCACAATCCTTCTGAACCTGCGCTTAAGTTCTTTGCGGGCTTTATCAATTTTTTGGGTAGATGATCTCAGGATAGCACTGAAGTCATTAGCATGAGTTAACTTCAGGTCTAAAGTAAATAGCAGTTCGGATGGCATGTCATACACTCCAAATGACTGTTCATCACCCATTCTGAATTAGAAACGAGCTGATAGACAAGTTGTGTTGGATATATCACTGCAATCAAAATATCGACAACATTATTAAACACACAGATGTAATCAACTTAGCTTTTTTATACACAGAAAAATAAATCCACCAACAAATTAAATAATTACTCAACTACAATGTAACATCTCAACAATGATATAGCCTAATCCCTCCAGTAATTTTTCCCTTCCTTTTATTTTTTCTGGTTCTTTTGGCTTTTGCTGACCAACATATAAAAGTAATACAATGATTCGCAATCCATTTGCGTATTCCAAATCCCTAGGCAGCCAAATCGCACACATTATATTCTTGAAATATTATACTGACTCAGAATTCATGTACATGCTTAGTAAGCAACAAACTGCAGATAAAGCAATAGTGACACATACTCTTGAATCAAACTAAATATGTACAAACACATACCTTCAGATGCTTGGAGAGGATAGAGGGGGTGATGTGCCTGTACAATGTACTTGAGCTTTCCGTTGGTGTCTGGTCAAAACACTGCACTGTTCAGCTTCTCCTTGTACTGCTGCTTCATCTCAAACAATTTAAACTTGGAATAGTGGAATAGATAATGAAGGTGCATGTGTGATATGCACCCATATATCAATAAATATGTACAAACATCTTGTGATTACTTCGTTTTTAAAGAAACACACAGTACTGCCACTGTACCGACATTTCCTCGCATTTAAGAGATGTCTGAAACATCTACTAACAAAAAAAAATTCTGGACAAATATGAAGAAACTGTGAGGTGTGAGAGAAAAGAAAAGAAAGAACTGGCTAGTATAGTAGTATTAATTGCAGTACCGTCGATAACAACAGATCTTTTTTTTTAAAAAAAAACCTAAGGCGGAACTTTGTTCCACTTTTATATTTAGAAGAAGAGAATTGACCTAGTTTATAAGAAAAACCGGGCCCAAAAACCATACAATAACAACATATCCTAGTTTTCAAGAAATGTACAATTCTGCTATATGCTTATAAGTCTAATTAATGAAGTTTAGAGCCAGCAACAGCAAAGGGGAAAAAATAACAATTAGCGTGTAACTTAGAAATAACATTAGGATCTCCATCAAGAAAAGCAATAGAAATCTTCACAAGAACCGACAATCTTTATCAAAAAAACAAGCGGATTGTTTACCCCTGATTATGTACCCCGTTTCACATCGCAAGAGGTCAATAACTTTCGTTTCGCTTCTTCTATAACCAGTGCCCTAGAAATGGAGCGTACTGGAATTTTTTTGACGCAAGGGTGCCTAAATAATCAACAGCAAAACCGGACGGAAAGATTCCAGTACGCACGAATCGAGTTTATAGCAAGCAGCAACATATCAAGGCAAACGCGTACCTAGGGTTTTCCGCCGTGATGCGTCCCCTGCTGCCAAGACAAACGCGACCGCTGTTTGATTCGTCCCGCCGACGCGGAGGCGGAGGGCTGGGGGCGGGCGCAGTAGGGGAGAGGGCGGCGGCGGCAGAGGCACGCGACGCGGATACGGCTTGACGCCGCAGAAGCTCGCCGATCGCCGGATTCTGAAGGTGCCCTAGGTGGGGAATGCAGGTAGGCTTGAGGTTGAGAACGGAGGCCGACGCCGCCGGCGATCGGCGGCCAAAAACCCCACCCGCCTTTCAACTCTAGGAGAGTCCGCTCGCAGGCAGGAGGGTCCCACTCCTCAGCACGCAACAACGTGCGGGACCAATTATTTGTTGACACGTCAATGTTTAACTTAACGTCTAGTACTAATTAAAGGTTTACTTCTAACCCCCGTGATTAGTCCATTTCTAGCATCAGTACCTCACGGTTTAACTTGATTTAATCAAATATTTTGTCTCAAAGCAAATTACCAATTTTCTAAAATATATTCTTCAGCTATGTCACGTTTTTCGATGTCCACTAATAAATTATGCAAAAAAAACTTTGATTATACTATTGCAAAATCTCTTACTATTTTACTTAAAAAAAGAAATGTTTCCTTCATCCGTCAAAACAAAATAAATAGCCAAAAAAAAAAGTCCGACTCCCTCTCAGAAACGAAAAAAAAAAGTCCGACTCTAAATCCGATTCTCCCCTTAAAAACAGAAAATAAAACACACCACTCCTCTCGGTCTCAGTTTGAGTCCGAGATCCCAGGCACAGTCCTCTCGGTTTCAATCTATACCGTGATATCCCATACATCTTGGTGAAAAAAAATTGATGTGCCGGATTGAAAATATGTTTGCAAAAACGGAACCTACCGGAGGAGAGCATTCCATTTTTATATGATTTTAATTTTTGGGTTTGTACTTTTCTATTTGAGTCCCTGTAATTTTTATATTTACACTTGAGTCCCTATAATCTTGCAATAAGATACTTGAGATCGTTTTTTTAAGAAAAAATAATAAAAGGGAGAGAACAATGACAGACAGGTGCATAAAAAGAAAAAGAAAAAGAAAAAGAAAAACTGCAAAAAAGAGAAACAACAACAATAAAATTTTGTTTCCCCTAAGTGGCGAAAAAAACCGTAGATCCGATTCCTATAAAAGGCAAAAAAAAAAGTGGTGAAAAATAAAGGCTAGATCCGATTACTTTAAAAACGGAAAAATGAAGTCTGATTCCTATAAAGGTGAGAAAATCTGAAAAAACATCTAAAAAATTTCGTCCAATTCCCTAAGAAAGTGGCGAAAAAAAGGGTTCGTAAAAAATAAAAAGCTAGTTCATACAAAATAAAAAATACGCGCGAGAAAAAAATAGAAAGGGCAAAACAAATTCCGATTTCTAATCAGTATATATCTCTTCTCTATCTCTAATCTAATCTAACTATTTAAAAAGAGAAAATACACGAGAAAAATAAAAACAGTTCAAAAAAATGCGTGAGAAAAAAGTCAGAAAAAGCGCAAAAAAATGCTAAAAAGGTTTTCCATCTTCCATAAAAAAACGTGCGAGAAATATTATTTCCATCGTCGGTAATTTTTTTAAAAAAAACATACGAGGAAAAAACTGTAAGAAAAAATGCGCCATTTCTAAAAAATGATTTGAAAAAACACGCAAGAAAAAAACACCGTCTATTAAAAAAACAAATCGCTCCGAAAAACCTGTCAGAAAAAAAAAACGCTAAATTGATGGACGCTTGAGTCGGATAGGATCCATCGATTTTTTGCCATCTACTACACGGCTTTTATTTCGTCATATATTCTTCTGTATTGGAAAAAAGCAAAAAAATGAACATTAAAAAAAAGGAAGCAAAAAACGCGCGAGAAAATAATTGTCAAGAAAAACCGGCAAAAAACACACGAGAAAAGAAAAGCAAAAAAGGGAGAAACATATGGTTTTCGTCGTCGGTAAAAAAAATTAAAAAAGAAAACATGCTAGGAAGAAACTGTTAGAAAGAAATACACTATTTCTGAAAAATGGTTTGAGAAAATCGCACAAGAAAAAAAATACACCGTTTATAAAAAAACAAGCCGCTCATTAAAATATAAACATTATCATTGACATGATTATGCATGAAAAATGTATATTATCATTAGAATTTATTTACCCGTTGTAACGCACGGGTATTTTTGCTAGTTTATCAAAAGTTTAAAATGCTACTACAAGCTTCCAATCAGCTAGAAATACATACTCCCTCTGTCTCACAATGAAGCACCTCCTAACATTCCAATGTAAAATTAAAGGAGGATAAAAGACCAAAATACCCTTTATTGATAATAAATTAGTATTGGTGGGTAGGTGGCAAGGGGTATTAAGAAATAAAATTTTTCGATTTGCGAACCGAGAGTAGATAAGAAAATAGAAGTTGATTTATTTTGGGACAAAGTTTGAATTACAGAAGTTGATTTATTTTGAGACGAAGCGAGTACACATTTGTTTCTGGCGTAAAATGACATAAACAGTGTACAAAAAAAGGGGAGAAATTCATCAGTTGTAACTTGCAAAGACATATCATCGTTGACAGGCAGGAACAAAATCCAGCACAGCTTCTCCCACGAGCTCCTCCCAGACTCCACCCTCAATTTGCTCGGTAATGTCAACCAACTGCGTCCTCATCGTTTTCACCCAGCCTGTTCCTTCAACCTCCTGCTTCACAACTCTCTCTATCATGATCCCAGCATTATCTCTCCTGCTCACCACGAACATCCGTGCCCCGTAAATCCAATCTTTCAGGATGCTCCAGACTTCTATCCCCAATGCAGGAGAGGAGGCGTCCATCCATGTTCTTGAGTGTGCTTTGCTCCATGGGAATGTACTTAGCAAGGTGTTCTCGCCGATCTCAACAAGAGCAACATTGACACAATCGAAAAGAAGCCTTTGGTATGAACTTTGCTCCCGAAGCTCCAAGACTTTGTTGAACAGAATCGGATCAAGAGGACAGTCAGGTAAATGCCAGCCAGTGAAAAGCATACTCGACTGCGCATCGTCTAATCCAGCAGACGACATTATATTTTGCACAAGAACATGGCATTCCGATTCATCGTCATCTACATCAGGGAGAAAAGAAGACTGCCCTCGGGTGCCAGGTAATGCTGATTCTGAAGTGGTGTCGTCCCATGATAAGGAACAAGCAACAGCCTCAATTGCTGAAGATCTTGAGACAGCTTCTGAAGAAAGTTAAGCAGAAATGTCAGTATATAAACTAACCAATCTGAGACTTGAAGAACTCTAGGCTGGAAACTAGACTTACTAGCATTTTTTGATGTAGTGCTTGCAGATGATTCAGGTTCATTACAACTGCTATCTTCAGAGGGTGCATCAAGAACTGACGTAGGGCTGGGTTGGTCGCGTGTACTATTTAGGACCTCATTCAGTCCTAGTTTATTCAGGTTTCCACTTCGACAATCCAATGATGCAGGTACATCAGTTAAAGCAGTTGTTCCCTGTAATAAAATTTCTCATCAAATTCTCTGTGGCCGAACAAATGCATTGAACAAATATTTCTTACAAATGGAAGAAAGGATGTCATAGCTCAAGAATAAATGTGCCCATATCAATTACCCAGCTATATGAAAAGAACATAAGATTTGGCTTGCAAGATAGATGAGATGAAGTGCCTACCTCTGAAGTGCTGGTTGATTGCACAGCACAAATATCAAGTATGTCCTCACAAATGGTGGATTTTTCATTACCATCCAAATCATGGTTGGCATCTTGTTGACTATCACCGCCACAGTCTTCAGTATTCCCTGAAGACAAATCAGATGTATGATTGGCAGATATCTGCCTTGTTGTTCTTTTACTTCTTGGAAAGAAGAAATCTGAAACTCTACCCCTGAAAAATGATTTTTCTTTATTTGATGCGACAATATGTTTTGTTCTTTCATGGCCCTGATGATTTGAAGTTTTCACATTTGCCACCATGTTATTAAGCGTGGATGGAATCAGAGGAACAGATGTTGATCTTGGCAACCCCATAGGTCTCTCACCATTTTTTTCATCTTTCCTACAAGCAGTTGCATATTTAGCTTGAGTAGGTAGTTCATTTTCTCTGTCATAACAGCGACTGGTAGAAACAGAAGGTAACTCATTGATGAAATTATCATTCTTCACATCCTGAAGGGAGAGCATCTCTCCTAAGGTGCATGTGCTCCTTGGCAATTCTACTTGCTCTTGACTGATCTCATCACAAGTTACAGTTGCCCATCGCTCTGAAAGCCGTTGCTTGGCTTCCTTAGTAACTGATGACTCAGCAAAGTGGGAGATCTTGCTAAAAGACGATCCCAGATAGGGATTTCCATGTTTTTTGGTATAATGCCATGTTCGCTTTGACACAGGACTACATCCCCCTGAGTCACTGAAGCTGTCACCTTCATCTTCAATATAGTCAATATCAGAATCACTGTTCTGATCAATTTCTGAATCACCTAATGAACTTTCATCTCCTCCATATCCATTTGAGTATGAGGAAGATAAAAAAGATTCATCTCCTTGATGACAGCCATCTTGCTGGTTATGAATGATACCAGGCTCTACTTTTGTAGATCGTAGGGTTGCCCCATTGCCATCCAATGCTACCCTGAAATCACTGGGGTTAATTGATAGAAATGGAGTTGTCCTGGGGGTTAGCTTTGCATTTGTTAAACTCGGCTTCCCTGGAGTAGGCCTCAGGAGTACTATTCTACTTGGCAAGGAGGGATTTTCTTCCTTAAAATTAGAACTCTGATGGAACTCTCTCATTGCTGCTCCATTTTGCTCTTGAATTTGCTCAGTTCCAGTTTGTCTTGTGCCATCACTCTCAAAAGAACCAAGTGGCTTTAGTACCGTAATCCGTTTTTTCTGAGGTGGTGCTAGATTGGTGTGAGACCCTACCAACTGTCTTGAGAAAATTGAGTTAGGTTCTTCAAGAAATTTCAGAAACAAATCTTTGTTTGAACTTACAACCCTAAGAGCTTCTTGTAAGTCCTTTGAATGAAGCGGCTTCTCTGCCATGCCTAAGCATTTTTTCTCCATGACACTTCCTCGCAAAATATCCACTCTGTTACTTGTGTTCCCAGAAGACCCTCCTTTCTGCGAAATTTTGTCCTGAAAATAGCTCATCCGTGTTTGTGCTTCAGATACTTCATACACATCATTATATTGAACTGCTTCCTGACAAAATGGGTGGATATCTTGTGTCGTTGACTTTATGAGACGATGCTGCTCTTGTTGCTTTAAGTCTTTGTTTAGTGCTTTTAACTGGTTACATGATTGACTTTTCCTGAAACCACTTTTGGCCTGGTGTAAAACTGGTCCATTAGCAGGTAGATCCTCCTCAAGGCCCATTAATCGGGCAACGACACCTGGTGGCTTTCTCTTTAATTCCACTTCTTTAGTCATCTCTTTTGCTAATAACACTTTTAATGAAGTTGCATTTGATTTTCTACGTGAAGAACCATCACAAGGTGCCTGCAGAGAAACCCATATTAATAATAAAAAAAAGACAAGAATCATCACAGGAATGAAAAAAAATACTAGCTGGATCAGCATAGTTTAATGGCATAAGCATATTGCACTACATATAGTTTTACACTTCATTTTCATGTGCCTTTTATTCTCAAAATTATTTCTACCACATTTCATATCAAAATAAAATTGTCACATAGGAGTAGAGGAGCCTAAGTTAACCACACAGAAGAAAGGTATGCCACAGGATGCTCACAGGTTTTCTGTCCGCATGAAATTTGTCAGAGTCAGTGGCTTTCTCCAAATATGAATAGATCTGTTGGACAGGACAACCTGAAAGGATTAAAATTTAAAATTATGTATGTTCTGCAAATAGCACAAACCTTAGAGATATACCCGAAAAAACTAAAGATCCACAAAAGCAAAATGAAGCGAGAAATAAAAAGGAATAGCAAAACTGCCAAAACATCTCATTATCTTGGAAGAGCGTAAGAATAATACAATGTTGTGTAATCCCCCCCCCCCCCCCCCCCCAAATAGAGAAAAATGGCCTTTGATAGAGCAATACTGCAAAGTATTGGCCCAATGGCCCTAGCTAATATTTCCAGATGCATAGCATATCCAATTTCCCACACATAACATAGAACTAACTAGATGTAGAACACATTCAAGAAGTGCCAAATTTCTGTTTCAAAAAAGAGAAAATGAAGAAGAATAAGTACTGAAGGGCATAATAATTTGATATAATGGCAAGAAATATTGAAATTTATGGAAAACCCTCAAATCCCTCTAATAAAATACCCACATAAATATACATACCATCTCCTTGAGTTTGACCCATAGCTGGCTTTGCTCCAGACATCCCTCAACAAATTGATTGCCTTCTGGCAATAGGTAGCTGCAACTCAATCTTCTGGAGTATGGAATCCTGAAAATAGTGACATCCCATGAACCATGTGTGATTTTAATTTTCCACAAACTAAAGCCAAGTGACCTAACTTAATTACAGGAACCATTTCAGATACTAGTGGGTAGTGGCTGGCATTGATGAGCACGGTGAATATATCTGAAAAGCTCTCAGAATTTAAAGCACTTAGGGTTTGTACTTAGGGGACATGATTCTGAGATATTGCTGTAGCAAGATGCCCTCTTTCCACAAAATTTCAAGAGACACATGCTTAAAAGCTGGAATTCTGCAGGCACTTGTAAGGCAGATTGGTGAAAGAGGTAGCACAGTTCATGGTCTGTTCTTGTATAAAATCACAAGAAATGAGAAATGGCGAGCAGAACGATAAGATTCGACGGGGACATGGCAGCACTTGGCAACATAGAAAAGAATAAGGCGGGAGAAAAAAGGACAGGATAAAAGCATATGAGCAGAAACAATTACAAAAAAATATGGACCCATGGCACTAACAAGATCGTACATACTTCCAAAAGGAATCTTGCAGCAAAAACATAATCTCTGAAAGACTGTATTTTCTGTCAGAAATAAAAATCAGTTATGAGAGGTAGGAAGGCGTATTTTACCATGTCTTTAGATCAGACAAATGTGAAAACACGAAACAGAACAGAAACCGAGCAAGTACAAAATACCCAGGATTTCTACTCTACGTACAGGCGACAGAGGAATCTCTGTAGACATCGTTCCAAAGGCTTCAGAATTTATCAGGAAAATTCGTCAGAATTTCGAATCTTGACAGTGGAAGAGAATTAGGGGGAGGGGGGGAGGAAAAAAAGACTGTAAAAAGTAAAGGAGGAGATGTACTCCACGTAGAATAGAAAACAACAATGGGTGAAACTACCGAGATGTTTAGGTTTATACATGTCCAAATGAGCACTGCAACCGAGACAATTCCTCAGGTCTGTAGTCTTTCGCAGGTTAAAAAACACCAAAATCTAAGCTTGGCTTGCTGAGTGTAACTAGATTCCACTGTTACAAAAAGAAGTGCACAACACTGAAGTAATTACAAAAACCAGAACACGACATTACAACCAGAGGGTACAGGAAAGCATCCAAAGAATCTTGCAGATAAGAGAGACTTCGAGGTCTGGTGATCTGCGCTGTTTTTGTTCTATTCCTCACTGGAAATTTACGAATTTCATGAAGAGTTTGGAAATTTGATCAAACAGGTGTGATGTTTATGCCAAACCGACGAATGTTCATCATGACTAGACCTTGTATAACAGCTGGCATTCCATTTTATTTATGGTGCATTTTCTTGACTGACACAAGTTATCCCCAAATCGTATGTCGGACACCCCTAGAAAAATTGCATTTGCCACTTCCCAGATGACAATCAAATCAAATGTAGCACACATTGAGTTTCCAGTATTGATATCACAAACCGAATACGGGAGAAAAAAAAAATGCACAGCCCAAACAATGCCTAATCCTGCATACCAAAGCTCCACCAAATGAAACAGAATGCTGGCATTTTCCATCCAGCACAACCCAAATCCAACCAGGCACATCACATCACATCCCATCCCATGGGAATCCCGGCACAAGAAAGGCCCGAAGTTAAGTGAGCCTGTGATCCAGAGAGAGAGAGAGAATCGCTAGTATGCACACCTGGGGTGATGCGGCAGCGGAGCATTCTTGGCCGCCGCCGGCGGCCGGGGAGGGGAGGGAGCAGCTTGGCTTGCGCGGCGGAGGCGGCGGCGGCGGTGGGTTTTGGGAGGGGGTAAGCAACGGAGCGGAGGAGACAGTGAAGCAGAGTGGAGTAGAGTGGAGAGTGTGGGACTAGTGGGATATGCGGAAAAAGCCTTTGCGAGCCGTTTGTTTGCCGTTCTTTTCTTCGCGGGGGCGGGGCGTTCGCTTGTTTGTTGCTTGTGCAGCTGTGCTTCTGGCCCGTGGCGCGTCGTGGGCTGCGTACGTGCGCGCGCGCGCCATGGATCGCCTTAACTAACAAAAACCAGAAGTTGGTGGTCACTGGGATTGGATCGAAGGATATTCTCGTGCGTTCTTACTGGGATTGGATCGAAGGATATTCTCGTGCGTTCTTTTTCCTTCATTTTTTGTGTGAAGACTTTTTATTACTCCCTCCATCTACTTTCGATCTACTTTCGAATGTCATATTTATCTTGACACATAAATCAAAGATAAGTAATTCTATTTATCATCCATTTAAACATGCTACTAGTTATTTCTCGTAAACAAGCGATTCATTAATATTTACATTTCTCGATGCCATGTAGCCAATCTTGTGTGGAAAAATGGAGAGTCACGCATCAAATCCGAAAAAGTCATTAAGAGAATAGGTTGTTGGATTGAAATATGTCTATCAAAAATAAATTTTTCAGATTTGGAAATATGCATATCAAAAATAGATTAAGGGAGTAGCTGCTATGTCATTCTCTTTTTATTAACTGCTATGTCATTCTTTTTGTGAAACATTAACTAGACTACTACTCTCTCCGTCCTATAATATAAGGGATTTTGGTATGTATTACACTGTTTGATCACTCGTCTTATTCAAAAAATTTGTGCAAATATAAAAAAAATGAAAAGTTGTGCTTAAAGTATTTTGGATAATAAAGTAAATCAAAATAAATAAATAATAATCCTAAAATTTTTTTAAAGAAGATGAATAGTCAAACAGTGTAAGCAAAATGTTAAAATCCCTTGTATTAGAGAACGAATGGAGTATGTTCTTAAGTACATGTGTTTCCAAATTAAGGTGATTTTTTTTCTTAAAAGACATGATCCATTAGTCTCAATAAATGTGTGATATAGTACCAGTGATGAAACCAACAACATTTTTATCAGGACTACGTAGAAAAGCCTAAGCAACCGTCCACTGGATGGAGATGTCGCTCTATAACGTATCGTTATTTTTATTTAAACACGGTACATATGCTTATATATACATGCGCACTCCCTTCTATAAATATTAGTATCTACTCGTATATTATATCGCTTATAAATTTTTTGAAAATGTACCAGTATTTTCTAAAATTTATGAAGTTATCACATACAACTCACTATTGACAATTATGTTATCTATCACAAACAAAAGAGATAATCATAAATATAAATATAAGGACCATATCAAATGCAGGACTGAAATTAGCGCCAATGGAAGAGAAATTACACAACACGACATAATTAGTGGCATGAGAGTAATTGTAAGAAACTGTCGGTGTATAAAAGTTCGGCGACGGTGCATACGCTAGAAAGGAAAGCACAGCATTCGCTCGAGGGAGAAAAAAAAAAGTAAAGCCAAGGCGTTCGTGCATTAGCCTTTTCTACAACAACAGTATCAATATAATAAAAACTTTGTACTACAAGTGCTATTTACAAACAGAACTAATTTGTCCTTACTTTAAGCAAAGGGAATAAACAGACGAGCAAAACGTAACCGCGCGCCATTCTTCCCACAAGAAGATCAACCAGACAACCACCACACGGCCACAAGCCCACAAGCCCACCCCACCCCACGCCTCGGCGGCTCGGCGCTCACGAGTCACACGACCCGCGAACACCTCTGCCACCTATCCGTTTCCATCCAGTTAGGCACCGTCCCTTAACATTTGTCGCTGCGCACGCCGCGCCACGCCACGGTCCAACACACGACGCCACCTGCTGCCCGCGCAACAGATGCCCCCCGCCCCCGGCCCCCCTCTCCGCGCAGGCGCGGCTAGGCGGCTAGCTATAGCGGCGCATGCCCCGCGCGCGCGCACAGTGGATCAAACAGTACGCGCACAGTGCACGCAGCGCCCGTCATCCACAGCCACACCGTCCGCACCGCGCGCCCCGCTCACTCGGCCGCTAAACCCAAAACCCTCCCCACCAACCGCCACCGCCACGGCTACCACCAGCAGCAGTAGCAGGCGCGGCAGAGCAGAGGAAGGCATATCCGCGCGCGCGAATGTTGCCTCCCGCTACGCGACGTCGCGCCGGGCCGGACGATGAGACGGAGCAGAGCAGCGCGAGTGCGCGACGCGAGCCATGACCAACGGCAGGCGACGCCGCTTCCACTGTCGCGGCATCTGCGTGCATCAGCGATGCCCGGCCGGCTGCCCGCCGGTCACATGGCTATAAGCATCGAATCGTAGCGTAGCCTCTTCTCTTTTTTTTTCTTTTTCTCTGCGCGCGGCAGGGCAGGGCAGAGGCAGGCGCTTTCCCGGCTGGCTGGACCCGTGCCTTTCGGGAATTAATGAGGAGGGGTCAAGATCAAATCGCGAGTTTTTTTAAAATACCGCTGCCTACCTGTAGGCTGCGGACCGTGCACCAGTGCATGTCAGATACGTACGTACGTATTCAGGTCCAGCCGAGCCAGAGCCAGCCAGCCATATGCACAGCGCCACAGGATTTTATTCCGAACAAATTGTATGAGAACATGTACATGACGCGTCAGCCCAAGCCAGTGTCAGGACTCAGGACGAGCTGGGACGAGTAGGCGGGCGCGAACATGAAAACGGCTGTTTGTTCCGTTGTGCAGCAGGCGACGTAGAGGGAGAGGGAATAATCGTATGATCGTCGTTGCGAAATCGTGCGATGCAGCGGGGGAGAAGAGAAGGCGGTTTATGTGTACAACAGTGGCGCGTGTTAGGATAGTGGACAAACGATCACCAGGGGAAAAAAAAAAACTAGCACCCGTGACACCTGAAGATGCCGGCGATCGATGCTGATGGTGATGGGACGCGCGGAACCGAAGCTAGCTAGTCCACCGCTGCCATGATGACGATGGGGGAGGAGAACATTGATGTGCAGCTTGATGGTGAGCTACCACAAGTTCTATATAGTTCAATGTTATGGCAGTAAGATGGAAACGTGTTGTGTTTTTTTCGTGTCATACACTGGTGCGGTTACTTGTTTAGGTTCTCGATTGAATGAATCTACCAAGCATGCCAAGCAGGCAAGGTACATCCGTACGCATCAGGAAATAAAGGCCATTTCCTAATCACTTTGTCAATTTTTTTGGCATAAACCTTTACATAAACCAAGTGAATGATTATTTTTTGGCATTGCCAATTGTTTTGGCTTGGGTAAGTTTGGGTCTGTTTGGGGAAGCTTTTAGATTCTGAGAAGCAGCTGTTTGGTAGCCAGCTTCTGAGAATCTGGAAGAGCTCTGAAACCCAGCTTCTTAGTTTATTTTTCAGAATCTGTAACTACAGATTCTTAGAAGCTGTGGACTGTTTGGGGTAGCTTCTAGTAGAAGCAGCTTTTTGGGAAAAGCTATAGTTGGGACAAGCTCCCCCAAACAGGGCCTTTGGCACAAACCAACCAAGTCCAAAATTCCATGCAAAGAGCATGAAAGTCCAAAGAATATGTTTGGTTTGCTATCAGGGTTTACGATTCCGACGAAATCCAATCGGATTAAGCGAAATTTCGACGTTCCGACGAGGCTTGAAAGTAGAAACTGTTTGAGATTTCGAGAAGTTTTATCCAAATTCAAATATAAATTGATAAAAAAGAAAAAATCAAATAAAATCTTATAAATACTATGATATTCATAGAACCTATTGGGATATAATTTTTTTAAAAAAATGATGTATTGTGTGTATTTACTGAAATTTTCATCATGAAAAAAAAAGAATTTCAGGAAATTACCTCTATTACAAATTACTGATCAAAATTTCGATGATTTCGGTTAGAATTTCGCCAAAACCAACCGGTTTTTGAGAACTTGTCGGCAACTTAGGGAATTTGTATTTAAATTTTGGTTTATGAAATTTGTTCGGAATTTACCGGTTTTCCACCGGATTTCGCGAAATTTCGAATTCCGCCAGTGCCCGAAACGGAAGAGCATGTAGGAATTGTAAACCCTGTTTGCTATCTTCTTGGGAGCATTCAATTGACCATTTTTGACATTTCTAACAACATGTTCATAGTCATAAAACAAAAGCAGCATGTTCATTGGATTTTATTATACATTTATACCACGTACCAACTCCAAAATAAGAACTTCAATGCGCCTTCACTGAGGCAAGGTGCACGCACGGCAGTTATTGCAAGATCATTCTGTCATGAGCATGTCAATTATTGCAACATCGTTTTGTCACGTAGGGAGGCCACCGGAGAGATAAAATTAACTAGCATTGGGATCGAAGGCAATCAATTGCTGGACCTGTTTTTTTTATGGCCAGGAGCACCATTCCATCGATCTCCCTGCCCAACTCGGCAACTCTACGGCAATTCGCAGTACAGTTGCAGGGTCAGGGAAGCATATGAGGCTACATGAATCTACACATTTTTTTTCCTCTCCGATTTAGCGTCCAGTTTGGGAGTAAAAACGATATGAGTAGTGGAGCTTCTGCGGTAACCGCTACAGGTCAGTTGATTCCATGGGTGAAAACTGGAAAGGTAAAAACTTGTCCCACCACGTTGCCAGTTGCATTTCATGTTGTCCCACTAGTTATGATCAGTTTCACTATAAGTTTACTATATCGGCAATATTTCTTTCTTGGAGCTGAGATTGATTCTTGGGTTGTTATCTCACTCTATCCTTTGTTATCTTTAGTGCTAGTTCAAAATTCCTTCTCTCCCTTTTTTTTTCCTGAATGAACGTAATAGCTCAAGTACCAAGCATCTTGACAACTCCTTGCATGTAAAAAGCATCTCAAGAAACTATCGATTCACCAAGAAGCTTGTGTGATATGAACGATTGAACGGTACCTTGGAGGCGTTTGTACCATACTAATGTCAGACGATAACTCTGGAGTGCTGGTAAAAAGTTCAGTCTGGTCGCCCAAATACTTCCAAGGAAAGCAGGAATTGAGCTGTGCGGCCTTGTGCAGAGAATATGTAGCCTTTTACTGTGGCCCGATACTGTTTAGCATAGTTCTTGATCCCGTTGGAATTTCTTGAAAGAAAACATCACATGTCGGGGGGTAAAAAGCTTCAGTCAAAAAAGCTTGGAAAATTGACCTCAGGCAGGCAGAGCTCGGGGATTTACCTTTGAGCTTTTGACCCTTCGGCTGAAGATTTACAATTCAATATTTGTATCTTACAACCATTGCTAGCAACAAGTAAAACAGATGTACATCTATACTTTCGATTTTAAGAAGGATAAATTTTGGATTGTGCTTTTTTCTTGGAAACAGAGTATCAAAAGAATCGGTGTCAAAAAAAGAATATCAAAAGAATCAACATGCTCAAACCACTAGAACATTAGCCTAAAAGAACATATGCAGCATGCACAACTCTGAGCTTTTACCCAACAATATAGGATTGAAAAACATCAGCCTTCCACCCCCCCCCCCCCCCCCCGGGTCCCGGCGCTCTCATCTCAGCCACAAATACTCTTATGACAATAATACAGCAACGCATCAGCATCATCAGCTTAAGCAATTTGAGGTTTTAAATCCAGATATTTCTCTATAGAAGTGTTGCAAAAATAATTAGCCTTCATCCCCTGTAGCTGGACAAGGCAAGCCTCTCTAAAATCAGGTGAACATCTGTGAATATCTCATAACATCATCTACATACACTTCTGTACCCTCAACATTCATCGAAGTACCATCTGCTAACAGAATAAACCTGGACCAAAAAAAAAAAACAATAGAACAAGGTATACATCGGACTGGACTACCACCTTAGGCCATCAAGACGCACAGAAGCCTCCCTGATGCCATCCATAGCAGAGCACAAACCAAATAATGGAAGATCAGAAGTGCACAAGTCATTTGGGTTTCCTTCAGCTAACATGAAGCTGCAGTGATCTTCCAAATCATTGTAAGTATTTTCCTCTGACATGAAGCCAAGTACAGCTCCAAAATCATCATCATGAGATTGGAGATGATGCACTGATGACCACAATTCTGTGGAAGAGTCACACAAGCCTTTTCCATCTTGCTTACAAGGATGATCTGTGTATGGCGATAGAGAGTTCAAACAAGCACCGTTTGCATCCATGAACAAAGTACTACTGCTGTCCTTTGGAGGCATATATCTGAGATGATGTTGATGATCCAGAGTTCCAGATATGTAGTTTGAAAAGCTTGTATAAGTGAATTTCGCAGGTAACTGATCCAATTCCTGTATAGGCCCAATATCAGAATTATCAAAAATCTCTGCCTCCTTCGAATATTTCTCCTCCAGTCCAGCCAAAGAAGTTTCATGCAACCTCTTTGAGCCCAATTGAAAAGGATGCTCTGAAGTTGAAAATATGGAATTCAGACAACTCATGCTTGCATTCGACACAATATCGTTGCTCTCACTTGCAGCTAAGTTGGAGATATAGCTAAAATCACTGTGATTGAGAATTCCATTTCTAGTGTCCAAAAAGCTTGAAGCAGAACATTTTGCATATAACTGATCAAAGCTAGATAGAAGTCCAGTGTCAAAATTAACTAATTCTGACCCATGTTGGTCTTGCCTTTCCAGTCCAACTGAACTAGAAGTAAATTGCTCTAGAAGTTCAGCACCATAATTATGAGAGAATCTTGCCTCCTTTTGGCCTTGCCTATCCAATCCAACTGGAGGAAAACATTGTTCCAAGGGGTTACAAGGGTCAGGTCGCCGGTAAGTGTTTGATATTTCATATGGTACCACATGTGTCTCCTCAATCTGACAGGGGGTGAAAAATCTATTTGGAATGGATCCAGAGAATCCTTGTGACAACATAGGCACCCATCCATGATAAGTGCATGGCCTTGTTTCAACATTACAGTTCAACTCAGTAGCTGAAGCCAGTTTGCCTTCGGAGTGTGGTTGGACATCCTCTAGCAACAAATTAGAAACCTGGTTGTGAGCAGTGTCTCTTTTCCAACCAGAATTTGGAAGACCCACAGTGTGCACCCATGGTAATGCCATGCTCTCACGTGCTTCATTGCCCCTGTGAGGTAAATCAATTTTCCAATCAAGAGAACCTGAAGGGCCCTGATTGTATCCCCATGGCAAAGCCATGAATTGACGGGATTCCTGGGTTGCATAAGAGGATGACTCTTTTTCTGTTCTCAGTTTAGTTCGCAAATCAAAGTCACTAATCCTGTAATCAAGCATATTTTCAAAATGGCATCCGGTGCCAGTAGGAGTATGGCCACAGACCTTCATCATTCTCATGGACTCCTTACGGTGCTACATTACAGCAAAAAAAAAAAATCAAATCAAATCATGGAACTTGTAAATAATAGACAAACATTTTTGAGTGGGTGATAGTGCATTACATAGGTTCAGCAAAGGATACCTTTTTTATCATGCTGTTGGCGCCTAGCCTTTGCAGGATGTCAGCAAAAAATTCTGATCTGAGAAATTTATGTCATCAGGCCAACCATTATCGGACAACATGAAAATATAAAGTAAAGGAGTTCTTCAATATGTAATGTCAACCTTCTCTGCAAAAACTCAGAACTTTCCATTGACATAGTTTTTGCAGCTAGCTTTAATAATTTTCCTCTCTTTTCTGAAAAGATCCGTCCACTCCAAGGTTCTATGTCTATCATCAAAAGTGAAAAGAATATGAGCTTAGCACATTAGATAAATATAGCAGACGTAAATTGCTGTGAGAACACTTCTAATCATATGTATCTCGCAATACTAATTTATGCATGGTGAATCAGTAACATGTTCTTGTATCAGCCAACGGTTGCAGACCAAATATCAGCAACCAACACACTTCAGAAAAGATGTGTCGTAGGCAGCATGAGGAAAACAAACATAAATAATACAAAGAGCCTAGGATTACTGCCTTGCCTGATAGTAATTTCTGTTATTTTCATTCAAAGAGTATATGTATATAAGAAAAACCTCAACTACCATGGGCGCCATTATTTATGATGGAATGATAACCCTACAAAATAGTGCATTTCTAAAACAAGTTAACATCCATACACAGGAAATGTCTATATATCATAGTGACAATTTCCGGCAACAGCAGTATAGTAGTCAGTCACTATGCTATGTATTTCTTATTGAAAGATGAAAATGTCTCACCAGTGTTTCTTGAAATTCCTACGGCTTCAAACGAAACCTGAGTTATGGGTGTGTGAACATGAACAGTCAAGTAATCATGTGGGTTCAACTGAGGTGTATCATTATTGCCATGTTCTGCAGAGAAGACAATTAATAGTTAGAAGAGTCTAAAACTGCATCATTCATGGCTAAAGGAGATCAGAGAAAACGAATTCAACCAGAATGGGAAGCTTTCGCATTGACTTGCTCATGGTAGATTTCTTCATTCTTACAAGGTGTAGCGGGGGTCTCCTCAGAAGAGAAAGTGCTCTTCTGGGCAGGGAGCTTTCTGCCTGGCATTACATTATGCGATTCTACAAGGCACAGAAAAATCACATAAGATACATATGAATGATCTGTTTCAAGTCATTTAGTAAGAGCGCCAAAGAGAACAGGAGTATAGTACACCCTATGGAAATGTATACAGAGTTACAAACCCATCTGTTTTTCTTCGTTTTGTTTGGAGAAAGAATGAGGTCTACAGCCTGACTGCTCCCACAATTTCTTAAAGAATTTGTATTCAGTAGTTTTCGCATCACAACCTGCATGGAGAATGATTGTGAAATAGAATAAAGACATAGAAACACAAAGAAAACCATGTAAATGTAAATTAAAATCACTATCGTAAGGAACAACAAGCAAATGGCCTCAACAATTTAACAGCAATATTTACAGAGTGGTGCTTCCATGCTTCATCCCTCTGATGGCATTGCAGAAAATACTAAAAGAACTTCAAAGGGATATGTAGCATTCATCCACCATTGATTCATGCTTGGAAATTGCGCAACTCACCACACCTCAAAGAAAGATCTGTTTGGTTATTACAACTGGGAATATGGATGAGAAAATAAGGACCCTGTAACATTGAGAAGACTACAATGGCATGGAGCCCACAATATATTTTGAAAGACAAACCAATCCCCCTGCAAGCCGAAGCACGCAACATGAAGATACGGAAATGGGTAGCCTTCTGATAGAATTTTCATACGTCATGAAACCTAAAGGGGATTATCAAAATCCAGACTGTTAAGAAAGGAATTACAGTGAGGCCAGGGCCATATGGAAATGTACCTTGGGGTCTTTTGCCTGTGTTAGCATCCTGTCTCACGCATATCTGATGACTGCTGGCTTCACTAGCAAATCGAACCCTTTTCCTTGGCCTCCCACCTGTCATTAGATACTCAACTATTTAATCAAATTAGAAATGCGGACTAATTTTCTGGAGAAAATCTCATTGAATAAAGGTTGCAATAACCAACATGATAGTACTTAGGGATAAATTAGCTGGAAATTAACAAAGACTACAAGAGGACTATAAGCAAAGGCACCCCAAAAAAAATGCTTATTAGAAACTTATAGAGAAATCAAAGCTCATCAATTCCGAAACAGTATAGCTAATAACAAATAAATATTTTTCTTGAAAGGGCAGATTAATTTTTTTTAAAAAAACTTAAAAGTGGAGATCAGCGGCTCACGATCTTAAACCAACACCAAATCGTACCAAATTGCCAATGAAATGATCCCAAATCTACACATAAAAGCCATGAACGCCTCTCTTTTGTATTCAGCAAGAGGCAAGGAATCGCATTGCGAGTTGTTTAGAATTGAACCGCGGATTAATTGAACTCGGCGACTTCATTCACGAACCCCCAATCCCACGCAATCCCAACTCAACCAGCCCAGAAACTAGAAACTTCTACCTCGATCCACGAACCTAGCTCGCATCATGCACCGGCAATAAAAAGATCCCTAAAGCCAAGAAAGAAAGAAACAAGAAGCGCCACCGATGGAGCTGGGCGATACCTGGGGAGGAGGGCTCTGGAAGGGGCCTCGGCACCGCTGGGGCCTGGAAGGACGGGCCACGCGGGGGCCGTGGGGGCTTCATAGAAGAGGAGCCGGAAGGGACACTTTTAGGGTTCCGACGCCGGAGGCGATCCATCGCCACCGCCTCCGCCGCCGCCTCGGTCGGTGCGCGCCAAAACCCGAGGAAAAGCCTTCGCCCTTTGGCAATTTTCTCGTTTGGTCCTCGCGTTAGTATCAGCCTTACGGATTCGTCCACGAGCCTTATTAAAAAAACGTCGATCGCATCTCAGCCGTCCGATCAGACGTGCACGGTCCAGGGACGACGACCGGAGACAGAATTAGCTTGTCCGGTGCCAGGGCCCAGGGATTTCACAACGTCAAAACGAAATCATCATTATTATTTGAGTAAATTTCACAAAACTGCACGTTTTATGATCAAGTTGCAAAAAACCACACACACTTTGATACTTGGCACTTAAGTATATATATTTTTTAGTAAATAAATGGATTCACCTGTGAGATGACGTGGTTGTTACACCTAGGACGAGAATATGGCATCCTATTAATTTTGTGCGATGGCTGGTAATAGGATGCCATGTCCTCATCATAAGTGGAACAGCCACGCCATATCACAGGTGAATCAATTCATTGATAGTGTGGTTTTGTAAAACTACACTACCAAAATATATGTACTTAAACGCTAAGTGTCAGTGTGTGGTTTTCTGTAACTTGGATAAAAAAAACGTGTAGTTTTGTAAAATTTACTCTTATTATTTTTTAAGAAAACAGTACAGGTATGATTGGGAATTTTTTATATTCATATAGTATATTTAATGACAACTTCAATACCATACCCGCAAAAATTAGAAAAACTAAATTTTACATTCATAAACAATCAAAAACTTTTTTTTTACATAACGATATCAATACGGTTGAAGAATGTAAGCATGTAGCACTAGCATTGACAAAGAACGTGACATTGTATATCTACCAATACCATCTAGCAAACACAAGAGACCTTGGGAGTACTGCCACATATAAAAGCCCCATATCCGGCAGACCCACCACATATCAGTAACCAACTTTAGATGACAAATATTGTAGAGGAGACTCGACCGGGTCACCTGGAGCATCTGGATTGGCACTTGGAATGCATACATTTCAGTTGCAAACAATCTCGAGGTCTAATCTCCAACGATAATTTCACATGTACTCCCTCCTTCCCTAAATGTTGTTGACTTTTTTAAACATGTATAACTGTTTGTCTTATTCAAAAAATTTCAGCAATTATTGATTCTTTTTCTACCATTTGATTCATTGTTAAATATACTTTTATGTATACATATAGCTTTACATATTTCACAAAAGTTTTTTAATAAGACGAACGGTCAAACATGTTTAAAAAAGCCAACGGCGTCAAACATTATTTAAAAAAGTCAAACAGCGTCAAACATTCATGGAAGGAAGGAGTAGTAAGCAAAACCATTCAAGGATCTGTTGAGCAAATTCTCTGTTTCCGGCACACCCAATGTTTACAGCACAAGGATATGCCCACCAACAAACCCCTCAGGTAAACAAGGGAAAACAGTCAGCTACATCCTGTTATCTTTGTACAGTGTGATGGTAGTACAAGTTAACGCATAACTCAATGCCTCTGCACACAAGGGGAAAAGGAAACAAAAATAAAAGGAATACATACACACACGAAAAGCCAACTGCTCAATACATGAACGGCATCTGTCTGTTATATACAGATCGAATGAATGAAACCAGCTCATCCAAAGAGATACCCATATGATACACAAAACAATATGATCTAGTGGTTAGCATCAATCGGTGCACCAGACCTTGCCTGTGATATCCTGTTTGCATAGATTGTTACTAGGCGCAGCTGCGTGCTATTAAGCCCCTCTAGATATGGTACAAATGCTTTCCCAAGCATAATGTAGATATCCACCAAGCAGAATACAACAGTCTGGAAGAAAGTGAATACGATATCAGATTCCAAACACAAAACATTCATTTTTTTAAAGGTGATATGTATTAAACGTGCACATAGTCATATATTATTACACGTAGCTTCTGTGAAGCAAAGGCTGGAATGAATTTAATTATCTAAAACATATTGATACATAATCCAGATAACAATGGTAGACAGCAGGCAGATGGTCACTTGTGATTAAAGTGCAATTGACAGTGACCAAACATGGACATATTATTAGAAACTCAAAATAGAGAATGCACTATGGCACTAACATAGAGCATGGTAAATTATAATATAATGGAAATAATATTCGAACAAACCCAAACATATCATTTTCATATATCCAATTTAAACAATCATGATAAATCAGTTTAAATAATTTTAGGAATGACTACAAATGGGCCATACTGTTCCTGTGTATGAAGTAAACTTTTGTTGTATAAATGGATTCCGTACTTATTTCTTTACTATCAGTCTATCACATGCCTACCATGTTTCTATCATGTTAACTATCAGTCTATTGCCTTCTTTACATGTTTCTATCATGTTAACTATCAGTCTATTGCCTTCTTTACATGCCTACCATGTTTCTATCATGTTAACTATCAGTCTATTGCCTTCTTTACTAGCATATCCCTATGAAAACTCTCTACTACATAAAAGTGGAGTCATCCGTCCTCCCCTCGCACGCAGCGCGTGCTCCCACATAAAAATAGAAAATTCCCCGGACAAAAACAAAAAAAAACAATTGGTTAAAAAAATTGCATGCTTTAGGCTAATCCACAACCCATTCTCAGTAGTATGGGCCCATTGCAATGCACGGGCATATTACTAGTGTCAAAGAACAAGCAAAGCACCTTGCGAACATCTGGACTCTGGTTATTGAAAGCATCAAAAAGTGCTGGTAAAAATGAAGGCAGTTGAGTCATTAATTCCTCCTCTGATAGGCGTCCAACAAGCTGCAAAATTACCAGGAGAAAACCAGCAACCAAATAAGGTTAGTATGGTATGTATGAACAATAAAATTCCAGTATGAGATGGAACAGCTCTACAAGCTAACATGTTTCTTGTAATATAAAAAATATTTACTTAATCTCATTCACAAGTAAACCAGCAACGAAGCTTCAATGAAATAGTTGTATAAGGTACACCAGTAATCAACTCGGTAGTTGGTAGTTGCCAAGATATTCAAGTTGTGACAGGCCTTATTAGAGATAAAAATACCATTAATGACTGCCTCATTGTACTAGTAACACTTCAGGAATCTAGAATTTTGAGATTATTTTGAATTTGAATTTACGAATATAGACATATAAAGTTATTACAAATTAAATGTAGGTCAATTACTTCTCCTCATTGTCTGATGTTTTTATTCAATTATCTTTGGAGTTGGTGTTGCATCAATGATAATTAAAGCGTGTAACTAAGATACCTTTGTCAAACAGTTGGTACACACGACAAGCATCTTTTCATCATCACTAACCAACAAAGGTACAATAACCTGCAGTGCAAGCACAAAGATAAAGAAAAGTATAAGCTGCTAGTAACAAGAAGTGTAAACAAGTAGTGTTGCATTAATATATACTCTTTTATACAAAAAAGGGAGCTCTGTACATACAGCAAGGCATCTAAAAGGATCATATTTTGCCAACACGACATTTAAGCACTGGTTTGCTTCATTTGAAACCTGCACCGGCATTAAAAAGGGATTAGCCCAGAAGCAAGAGGGCTTCCTAAATGAGGAAAGTTTACCTTCGCCACGACATCCTTGGTCACATGTAGGAGCTTTTCAAGGACAATCTCAATGGATTCTTCCATAGGATCTTTCTGAGAATGATAAAATACATTATTAATCAATAAGCTACCAGCTAGATTACCCAACATGCATGCAGTTTGCGGACAGCGTACCTGGTTGTGGAGCATCTCAGCAACTAACGATAGAGAAAGCTCCCTGATAGAAGAATCCGAGTCATCCAACACCTCAAGGATGGTTGTTAAAATTTGATTGAAATACTATTGAGACAGAGGACCCATATCAGGATAAAGATACTATCAATACAAAGGCAGCATAAAATGATGAAAACCTGTCAACTAAGCTGCAAGAGTAACAGACTGTAGCTATGCATTCTGGAGAACAACACTCACAATGAACAGTTCATAGAACAATGACAATCAAAAAGGTTCTTTTCACTGTTACTGAAACGGTGAAGCATTCATCATTTTCAGCAACCACTGCATCAAGATAAATCAGGCAAATTGTTCTAGAATGGTGATGTTTTAAGCTATAGTAGTATAACAGTATTTCATAATCAATGGGATAATGGAAACAGTTTGAGTTCCCTCACATAACACGTAACATTATCCTGCTATTCTTTTTCCCTCCATCCCTTCACAGAACTATGCTCTCTCTCTCCAGAAACTCTCATTTATTCTCATACTAGTAGTCACAAAAGGAATGCAGCATGAGATGCAGAACTATATAATTGAATGGCCTAAAACATTTACTGCAGCTGTTTAACCCAATTAAAGAGAAAAGTTCACATGAACAAAAGAACATATGAAACAAAGCTATAGTATTGAAACTTTTTTTTCTTATAAAATTAAAGTGAAATTATAAAGGTAAGGTTGCAAACCTTAGTCCATATAGAGTTGTCATTATTGGTGGAAGCTGTAACCAACTGTTGTAATGCCTCCCGCTTGTCTAGACTAGTAACTTCACTGACATTGCTTATCTAGAAACATAAAAAAAAAAGTAGCATTTATGTATACGATGATAAAAGGTAAAATTAACACATACCAGTATTACTAACAAAGTTGATGGAAAAAGGAGATATTTCAGGCGTACCTGATGAATAAGTTGTGGGATGCTAGGGCCATTACTGGTGTGTGGGGTAATCTTCACAGAACTAAGCTCCACAAGTGGATTTCCCTCTTGAGCGTCTTCCACAGAAGTTGAAATAACAGCACCACGTCCATCAGAAACAGCAAGACGACCAAACTCCAGACGAGGAGTACCAGTAGAATTTTCATCATCAATGGTAGCATCTGATTTTCCAGGATAGTCTGTCCATGAACGTGCAGCTTCTACAACTGTGCGAGCAATGTTCTTTGATTCCCTACTTGTTGCAAGAACTTCAGCTTCAGGTTTGAAACATTGCTTAACATTATCAATGCTGACATCAGAGGATGTTCGGCCAGTAGAAATATCAAGGAATATTGATCCATGAACCATATTCATCTTCTTCCCTGATGCATTATCAAGGGAACTAGCAGAAAACCGCCCAAATGCATAACTACTCTTTGGTGTCAGTGCATAACCATCTTCAGAAGAATTTCCAAAATCAACTTGGTCATAAGATTTGGGACGTGAACGTTCTTTTTTGCTCTGCAAGTAATTTACCAGATCGACCTCGATACGAGGAGTATATTGCTTCAGTGCTCGCCTCACAAGGTTTTGTTCTTCAATAGACAAATTTAAAATAAAATTTAGAACCGCTGTTGAGTCAAAATGAGAATAAACTGCTATGATTCCAGAAATGGAAGTTTCCTTCAACTTTGCATTCTTTTCATGTATTAAAGGTGCTAGCTTTGAAAGCCATAGCTTAAGAAAGCCACTGTTACTATAACCTTCTGAGTCTACTTTGTACCTGCTGAATGACTTATTAGCAAACTCAAGAACAGCCAGTTTTGCTTTTGGAGACCTTTGTTCATCCAGTGAACGTACTAGAGCAGGTAGCAATGTGTCAATGGGATATGTGCGGCCAACAACTTCCAAGGTTGATGAACATGGTTGCCTAACTAATTCCTTTGGATCAATAAGTCTTGAAAATACATACGGTAAAATTCTTTCAACATAGCTCTCAAATTGCTTCTTGCAAGCTGGAATAATATCTGCAAGTGTAGAGAAAGCTGCCTGTGCAACTTTGTGATGAGGATCATCCAAATAACGGAAAAATAACTTCATGACCTTTTCAAAATTCTGCATAACTTCTTGAATGCCTTTCTGTCCTTGTTGCAGTAGTGTCTGAATAAAATTAAAGGCTGTAACTCTAGCTACCCAGTCTGAACTTGCACTAAGACCCCCAGAGAGTGCATCGCTTATAGAAGTTGGACCATCTGTGTATCGCGACATGTCATTAGATGAGATATGGCCATCATCAAAACTGTGTCTCGAACTTGCAGATGTCCTTGATGCCACTTGCTTCCTAAGAGGCCTCTGGAAGTGTGGAACTTGGTGATTGTGTAAATTTCTGTGGCTGGCATCCCTATAGGTCATATCAAGATAGTGTCTGTCCATCTGCATTTGTGGCATCCGCCTGGTTGACCATGTATCATTACTCTCTTCCATAGTGCTACCATATGGAGACCTCCCAGAAGAGCTTCTCGCATAAGGCAGTGACGATCCTGATATTGATTCAGACGACAGACTACTCAAATATGGTGACCTTGACCTCTCTTTATTGGCCACATGAGGGTTCACTGTATCTACCAAGCGTGAACCACCATTTCTTGTGTTATTAATGCTTGGCAGGGATGAATCCAGCAATATGGAATTCTGCAAAGACAGATGGTCCGAAGCAGTTGCAGCAAGTGGGATAGGAGGATCACGAGAGGATGGAGGATCAACTCCTGCACTAGGAGGAAAAGAAAAAAGAAATTGAGATTTCTTAAGTATTTATAATATAAGTCGGAAAGCAATAGCTAAGAATTTTAAACTACATAATGAAAGAGCAAACTCCAATTAAGCAGCTTAAAGAATACCAAGATCCAAGCTTGTTGAGCGCATAGCTGAGAAATTTTGCCGGCCGCTTACACCCTTCAATAAACTTTCAATGGCAGAAACCTTTTGTTTACTTGAACTGAGAACGCTCTCTATGCTTCTTTCAGCAGTTCTACCTATTTTCTTTGACTGCGACAGAAGACTTCTTGACGAAAGAGATGATTCAGAAGAAATAGCTGCACTCTTGTCCATCGCAACAATAGCTGAAGTGCTGTATCCGGCTAAATGTGTACCACTTGCATGAGATGAAGCATGAGAAAGTTGGACACCCTTCTCACGCAATGATGGAGAAGGATACCGTTTCTGCAGGCCCCCGTCTTCATCATTTATTATCTGCAAGTGCTTGCATTTATCAGATCAAACAAACAGTTATACTGTGTAATAGCAGAGTCAAATAACCATACTATTTTAGTTCAGAATATCATTTTTCTGTAACAAAATATAATTTTTCATTCATAATTTGGTCGATTTTCATTATACAAAAATCATTTCTTTCAAATGCGTATGCTGCAAGGTTAGGCTTGAAAGAATTTACACAGGATACCTAGCACAACTAACTAGTACAAGCAACTTGTTGAAAACCTGAAATATGAATGAATTGCTCGCCCTTCTCCATAAGCTTAAGGTTCTAGGTGAATGTATGGTGCATGAAACTCAATGTAGTATTAGAGCGCAATGAACTGTTGCAGCCCACTTTGGTTCCACAAGCGAGGCCTGAGGGGGCCTCCACGTGAGGGGGAGTATTGAAATATAAGTACATTGCCCAACCTCCTCTATAAGGTTAAGCTTTCGGGTGAACTCGTTGGTGTGTGCAACTCATCTTGAGAGAATACTCCTCTGCCTTGAACTAGTAAGCTTGAAACATCCTATTTGCTACATGCAGATGCATGGGATGGGTAATTGATATACACTGAACACTGCTTTACAAGAGCTTACAGCAATAGCCAAATACAGAATTGTATTTGCAAATTAAGAATATGATAATTTGGCATATATTCTTAAATAAACTAGCAGAAGATATTACAAAAGGATATCTGGAGCTTTCCTTCAGTAAGATCCAAAGAAAGGTATAAAAAGTTATTGACTTAGGTATATGATGATAGGTACATGGTACACAGAGCTAATGTTTCCTCTTATTTTCCTAAACTGGCAACACAAGGCAATAGCACATGTAAGTCAACCTCCATAGCACTTTAAGATGTCAACCTAAACTTTATGAGGAATGCTTTGAATGTTTGATTGATCTTTAGTTCTTTACAAGGAAAAACATGCAGAAAAGTATAATCGTATACCCTTTGTACTGCAGGATCAAATGACATAAAAAGCCGACGTGAGCGCTCAGGCCATGTCTTGGTGAACATCCTATAGCAAGATCTTGCAGTTGCACGGACCTGCATTTGCAACACGGCACAAGAATAACATCAAAACAAATTTTCAGGCATTTAATAATTAATACTGAACATTATGGTGACTTAAGTCAGGAAAAATGGATGGTGTTAGCCCTACCTCACTCATTGCATCAGCCACACAGCATTTTATTAGATCTTCGTATATATCAGATGCACGCTGTATTTCAGGAGCATCTGCCCAATATTCCAATATTAGGATGGCATACTCACTACATCTGACATAGCAGGAAATAGGCATGAGTGGCTTTAATAAACAAGGATCACAGGTACTGAGAAAAAAGACAATGCTAAACACAAGTACCTAGCACGAAGGATAGCGCTGCGATCATTCTTTGCCGTGTCAGCTATAAGTGGAAGAATACGTGAAACCTTGCAGTTCCGCAGGATCTGAAAGACAATAATTGTCAAAAAGAAAAATGAGTACTGAGAGGTTGTGCCACAGTTACATACAAGAATATAGGTATCTCACAGTTTTTATGCAGTTGTCGGCGGATTCAGCAATAACAAGCACAGTTATCACAACAAGCTTGAAAAGTACCTGATAATTTGATCAGTATGTTAGCCCTACTGAGGAAGTATAAGAGTACTGACTTACTGTTGCAAAACACTGAAACAGCTTCTATGGTTACCGGAATAAATATTTCAGCACATGCTTCAAAATCACCAAGGAGTTCTTTTGATAGCATATTAAGTAGATGGCATGCCTGGAAAAAAACTTGGTCAGCAATTTTTTCTCACCAAGGTTTGTTCAGTCATTGCAAATTCAATAAGAATTCTTTTTTTTCTAACAGAATTCCATAACACACATGTACTTCTAAAATGAAATATTTTTGGATGAACTAATTTGACAGCCCCTCAAGAATTGGTGTTAAATCAAATACCTGTTTTACTATGCTAGACCGTCGGTCAGACAGCTGAGCAGATAAGGGAGGAACTAGCTGCTTCAGGAGCGTAAGAAATGATGGATAATCAATTGCACCTGATAAAAGGAAGAGTTTATTTCAAACAAAAACATGCAAAACAATGTTAACAAGAAAGGGAATAATACATAATTATGTAACAGTATGTTTGTACAGTCAACAGTGAGACCTAAAACATCCCTGTAAAATTATAAACGTAAAGAAATTTAATTTCACTGTTCCAATATATTTATTTTCATCACTTAGCTTGTCTTTCTTGAATGAATTTCTACCAGCTATATGCATCATTATTGGTAAATCTGATATGAACTTATCAATATGGCATTCAAAATCATGGTTGGTTGGTGGGTTACCAAGTTAAGTAACAAAGCAATGCCACATTCCCCCCTTGACTTTGAAAAAGGGGATTGGTTACCTCAGTTCTATTTCACTGTTTTTGTTACTAACATGATCTATCTCTGGAGTTCCCTTTTCAACTTTTACATGCTGGAAGAACTTCAAGCCTGTGACATATACTTTCTAAAGAAAGCTACTTATCAACACTATCCAATGTTCAATAAAAAGATACAGCAGTGACAAATATCTAACCTCCATATACCAAGGCTTCAATCCTTTGCATTGCGGCAATACGTATAGACCAGTCCTTTTCTGGATCAAGGGCAGATGCAATCTTCTCCATCTCCCTAAGTAATTCTTTCTCTGAATGTACTCTTATGGGTTCCACTGGTTTTTCGGTAATATCTGAGTCACCTGTAAATGGCACAAAATCCAGTGGTATATGATCAATATGCTGATGTCGCTAATGATAAAAAGCTTCACATATGATAAGTTTTGTCTAGACCCAATGTTGCCAGAAAAGAACTGTCTTCTGACCAATAACTAATAAATTTCCTAAATTGCTACAAAAGCTCCTACTAAAATGGTGGAATCCAAAGCCTCTAATGTATAAACTAAGCAAAGTAAAGATGTTGTTTCTATAGTGCATGCCTTTTACCTTGAGTACCTGGTAAAAAGAGGTGCATTTTAACACATCAAAATGAATTTCACAAAAACAGGAATGTACAGTATTTGCCAACAATTAATACGCAAAATCTTTCAAGGCCTATATCAGTATAATTTTGTGAAGGATCAGCATGCATATAGAACAAACATGTATATCTACTACATGTGTTTCCCTTGATCTACATGTGGCATCTGCCAATGATCTCTGCAAGAATTTTAAAATCATGAACCAACTAAATCACAGTTGCATGATTATATAAGAAAAATGACATGTGGAAAAAAGCACTGACTCACTGTGCATGGAAAAGATGCTAATATTGCGTTGTTAGATCAGCACCAAATTGTGGCAATAGATTTGGCAATTTGAAAGAGCTATATCAACACTTATATGTGTTAACACATACTTCTTCCAAAAAGTTTAAAATCATTGACCATACAATCAAGAAGAGCTAATAGTGTAAACTCCCAGTATAAGAGGAGCTACAATAAGGCAGCTGACCGCAGTGAGAAGATAGTGAAGGGCCTAACATTTGTTTAGAGTAAAGTCATAGTAATGATTGCATGCTCTAGTAACAATCATCTGGAACTCCAAAAAAGTCCACTCAGATGAATAGGAATTTACAGCGAAGAGCATGGAATCTCCAGTTATGCTTAGCCATTACTTAAAATTTTGTCGATACAAACCAATAACACTTTTTTTCATATTTGTACTTTTAATCAAAATAGAAACAAAGCTTCCAGGAAATTCAAAAGTAAAACTTGCCTCCAAATAATGTGCTTTCCCTTGTTGAACTTTTTTTCCTTGGACTGCCTCTTTTTGCATTAGCACTTACAGATCTTTCAATAACCTTATATTGCATTCTAGCACCATCAGATGAGCGAGCCTTTGGTTCTATTTTATCCAATCTTGAATTTATGTCCTTCAGCTAAAAAAAGGCAAAGAAAGATTAATCAGCATATGACAGGATGCCTACCTTAAATTTGCACATGCAAGGATAAGACAAGCTCACGCAGTTTACTACTAATCCAACTTTGACAGGAAAGCAACCAATAATGATGGAGATCAGATTGGCCACATGGATTACCATGTAAGAAGGCAGATTATGGCGCTGCAACTCTTCATGGAATTGAGATCCCATGTTTCTATACATCTCCTGCAGTGAGAATAGATAATGTAAATTATTAAGCTACAGAAAGCACTTCAACAAAATATATGTCAGAGCATCACTGCATCAGGCAAAGACAGATGAAGAATAGTCAACAGGTTCTACATTGGCAAAAAATAAATGAAGCAAAATATAGTTTGGTCAAAAGAACAAAAGTAAAATATAATGTAGCACATTTTATCAAACTTGTAGCACATTCATTCTACAGAATACAGATGATTCTAACATTCCTCTCGTTTTATTCATAGGTTCACTCATCAAGATTATCCGGTCTACCGTGTACCAAACCAATGGAAAGTGAAGGCTACCTCTACATTCTTTTCTTCAGTCATATTCCACTTCCTAGAATTTGAGTATAGGCAAATCACATGACCACACAAAATCAGTATTGCTTATTTTTGCATCCAGATAAGTGGTCCCAGGCTAAAGTGAATGTTGTTACCCAGAGAGCATCCAAGTAATAAAGAAGTAATACTCCACTGTTATATTAACTAGTTCAAACATTGTTCAAAGGAAGAATGGATTAAACAGCAGAGACTGCATATTGGAAATGGAAAGTTCACAGAAGAAAATGTGCAAAATAATTTGCATCCATTGCATATATTATCTTGGTAACAGAAGAAAGTAAACCTACTATACAATCTACTTAGCATATGAAGGGTGCAAAGTGTGAACATTGCATGCGGGTAAAACCCCTGAAAAATGCAATGAAAAGTTTGAACAAATAGCAAAAGTGTGAGTTGCACAACATTTTGCAAAGGGATCACCTCAATACATGAGATTGCAGCGTCTCTAACACTTTGATTCAAATCGTTCAGCAATTGCAGGACCTGTAAAGCCAAACAAGTGTAGCAGCTACCATTAGCAATCATGCAAACAAAATAATTGTAAGCAGAACAGATTGAAATATAAAAATTATCTTGACATACAGGTGAAAGCAACACTCGCTGTAGAGGGAGCTCTGTAGAAGCAAAGAGGCCAACAGCTGTTGCAACAGTGCGTACAAATTCTTCCCGCACCCTCCAGCTCTTGTGAGTCCATGCATAACTTCCAGCTCTTTCAACAATGATTGTCGGTGATGAAACCTGAGAATGTAGAGAGTAAAAACAGCTTAGTATACCCCGCAAAATAATATCAGAACCATAAAGGTCCATAAGAATATAAATGAATATTAACATTGGAAAAGCAACAGTCCAACAAAAGATGAGAAATCTCCATGCATACAAGAGAATATACAGCCTGGAAAATAAGCTCAAGCCACCAAGGACATTTTTTAAATTCAAAGTACAAATAAGTATTTATTTTCAATGGTGTAGCAAATTAGCAACAGGCAATGCCATGTTTCAAATGCAACTAAAACATTGATTTTGAAGGGCTCTGTCCAAATTCATAGCTAAAGGTAGCTATATTTTGAGACAAAGGGAGTAAAAAAGAAGCAGCATGCAGAAAAGGAGAAATATAGGTTCAACTAGCTAAATTCTGTGTGTTGGTAATTGGCTATGGAAAAAAATAATCAAACATGTTCTATATCCAAAATAAGTGAATATGATTTTCGAACAAACATGTATTTTCACCTTTTGTGTGTGCGTGTGTGTTATAGACATGACAATTCAGTCGTTTTGGGCTGTTCCATATTAAATTTGATTTTTCTTAATGGCAAACAAGGAGAATTAACATGTGGAAGTACTATTGTGTAATATTGAAGAAATTTAAGGGAAAATCCAGTATAGAGAAGATGTGGTGGCAGATCGACAACCACCACTACTGTCATCTTTTAAAGGAGTAAAAATGTTGTCTCTGCTTCTCCAAAATCTACACTGGGCACCTTAAAACATATATCATGAAGCAGAGTAGCAGACTAAAACATCCTTCCACTGGAAAGCAAAATACAGTAACAAATTAGGTATATCTATATGCACATATTCTCCTCCAAATTTCTATCTTCATCCACTCATGAAAGCATTTGTTGATTAATAGCACATAGGAATATAACGAGCTCCAAACTAGTGCCTCCATTCACCTGAAAACTTGGGAATTTAGCCTTGTTCAGGTCACAATATTTAGCCTTAGTCCAGTTCACGAGTCTGTTCATTTAACTAGTAACTATCACCTGCTTCAACTAAGTATCACTATTCCCTTGGAATATTGATTGCGGGAAAGAGTGGATAGCAATGGTCTCTTTTGTTAAGAACAAAAAAAAATGCATAACCTTACAAGGAGACCAACAATTGTTGGTATAACATAGTACCAAACATGACTACGCACACCAATAATGTGACCATCTGAAAGGCATCCAAAGATATCCCTGAAAGTTATGTGATTGCAATTTTGCTCAACGGCTTACTTACCAAAATAAATTATACTCCAATATCGCCATCCTCAAACTACAGTGAATGATCAAAGTGCACAACTAAACTAGTTTGCAATCAAGGCTTGAAGCCATAATCTTAAAAGGGCAAGGGACATTTTCAATTTACAGAACCAGCCAATGGATTTGGCCTAAATAAGTAACTACCTCCTTAAACTCAAATTATGTACTGCATGCATTTACAAAGCAGATATTGTAGAAAGTTCAAGCTAATGATTTCAAGGATTCAATTTCACAGCTGCACTTAAATCCAAATGGCACATTTTTTTACCTAAATTTAACGATAATCCATTAGATCACGGCCAACTAATATATTTACAGCTAATAATCTAGCTCGAAATGAGCAAGGCCGCCAACCCCAAAGCTCCACTCATCATCCACTTAACCCACGCCATTTAACCCGCAAGTGGCGTCCATGCAGTATCAAAGCACAGACGAATTGAGATTTTCCGCTCGAAGAGTAATTTATCATAACTAAATATACACATAATCGAACCCGCATTTTCCCCAAACCTAAACCGGTAAGAGCAAACGATGTCGCTAGCAGAAGGCGACACAGCGAAGAGAACCAGACCTCCATGAGGGTGACAAGCAGCTGCCTGGCGGCGTCTCGGACGGGCTGCTTGCCGTCGCCCAGCCGCTCGACGGCGGCGGGCACGAGGGCGTTGAGGTGGATCTTGAAGTGGTCGCCGGCGAGCACCGCGGCGGCGGAGAGCGCCTGCAGGCCGCCCTGGGCGACGCGGAAGTTGCCGTCCTTGGTCAGATCCATGCAGGCGTCGACCAGCGACGTCACCTCGGCCGACGTCAGCCCTCGCCTCGCCGCGGCCTCCAGCGCCTCGTGGAGCCGCTCCACCCCGGCCAGCCGCTGCTTCGTGTCCTTGGCGCGCGCCGCCTCCAGCGCCGCCTCCATCTCCGCCCCACCCCCACCCGACAACCAACCGACCGAAGCTTCCTCCTCCTCCTACTCCTCACCGGCGGCGGCGGCGGCGGCGACCAGTAGGCGGTGGTTGGGTCGCGCGCTCGCGATGATTTTTGGGGGAAATGGGAGTGGTCGCGGATCTGAGAGAGACGAAAAGGGAGGGGAGAGAGAGAGTGTGAGACAGCAGCGAGCAGAGTAGTTTCAGAGAATTTTGTGCACGTTGGTCCCTGTCATTTCGTAATGTCGCATGTAGCACCCCCGGAGAAGTCCACCGTACTACCGCCGTATATTTGACTACCGTTTGACTCGTATGTACTACTGCAGCTTAATTTAGATTTTGAAACTTAAGTTTAGAGTTAATTTTGGGTTGTTTTTCGTTTTCTTCTTTTTTCGACCTAGGCTTTTTAATCTGCTAATAATAAGTATACAAGTTTTAGTTTATTTTTCAACTTTAGTGTAGTTTGTCGTGCAATTGGTGAATTAGCAAATTTATGAGTTTGTGACTTACAGCAATTATTGTTTGTACCACTAGAACTCCATTCTTCATGAAAAGGATGGAACGAGCGTAGCATAATGAGATAGTAGTAGGGTGGAAAGTCCAACCAAAAAGTCATCACGTGAAAGAAAGGGTTAACAAGCGTATGTGAGGCCCTGTTCTTTTTCATGGAATGGAATGATGGACAAATACACATGTTTTCCGAGCTTCTAGACATTCAGTTATTAAAAACATTCAATATATAAAATTCTTATAAATTTGTTTGAATCCATTTTTCAACTTTATAGCATTTAATTCATCCGCTTGTAACCTCAAATAATATCACAAATCATTCAAATGTGAAATCTTGGTAATTAAAAGTTTGAATCGTATGTGCCGATTTGTTTCAATACCATCCATCAGTCCCATGCCGTTAGCAACCGAAATTTCGATCCCTAATCTTTGCTGGATTTGAACTCGCATCTTAGTTTGTTGAGCTTTCTAAGTTAAGCAGTCAAGCTTTCAATCTATCATGCATGAAGTCACCTAACCAAGCTGGGATGGCACTGTCATCTAACAACATATCCCTTCAGTAAGTGAAATCTAACAAATTTGGTCTCTACATTGCCACAATCTTTTCAAGTTAGTTGGATATCTATTGGATGTAGCATGTAAACCTGATTCGTTGAGCTCCGGCTTACAAGCCACCGCACGTGATTGTTCACTTCAATTTTAGAAATGTTTCAGTCTAATAAAGAAAGCCCTTTCTTAAATTTGTCTGCTCAATGTTTATAAGCTAAATCAACCTACCAAGCAGATGCTGAAATTAGGCGGCCTTCAGAATTATGGGAGTAGATATATACCTGAGATAGTGAGATGAACACCCCAATTATGCTTGTAATTTTGCAAAAGCATAGGGCTATTTTTGGGGGAAAACAGAGGAGAGCCGGGGTGATAAAGCTAGGATTAGTTGAAGCGTAATGTCATCATAGTTGGTGCAAGTGCATCTTATGATTGACATGATGATAGGTGGTCCTCCGCAGAACAAAAACAAATAAATCTCGATGAGGATTTCGTTCAAAAAAAAAACTCGATTTGAGATGGTACTGTAATACGAGCGTACTAAGACCTCGATTCGGCTTTGGATAAAGTTGTTGTGTTTAATAAGTACCAAGTTGGATAAAGCTTCCAATCCTTGGAGTCCTACTCCTACAAGTTGTGATAAAAAGCTATATAGTACTGCTACATACACCATACCTAACTATGTTCTGATGCAGCGAATTGTCGCGCTGGCTTGTTTATGAGGGAAAAATCGATCAGAAATTAATCAGACGAGATGATGGAAAGTTCTGATGCAGCGAATTGTCGCGCTGGCTTATTTATGAGGGGAAAATGGATCAGAAATTAATCAAACGAGATGATGGCAAAGTGTGTTTGTTCATCTGTTCCGTTGGATCAGTATGGGAAAGCTTGTTTTCTCCTCATCACAAATCGATCGAGATGCCGCCAGTCGTCTCGAGATATCGTTGATGTCTACAGCCTAACGGTATCCGTACATACCGTCTCCTGAAAATCACTACCGTAAGAAGAGTATTACACCTGTTCATCAGAGAATGAAAATGATTATTTTCACAGCCATACATAGCTGCCCAAGTTCAAGCCTAAATTATGCCTGATGCCCTGATTTAATTAGCTTCTTATTGTCGTTAGCAAAAATCCCGTTTGGTACTGGAGACATATCTTATCTGGACAAGAGCATATAATTATTAGCATAAAGTATACTTACCATCTAAACCGATAATCATGCATGTCTGGTGAGCCGTCCAGTGTTGTTAATAGCTTACAAAGCGGAGCGACATCTGGTACATGACAGAGTAACCTGCCTGCTCCAAAGTCCAATAATCAATATTCTCGGGCCTGATAGCAAGTGAGCTAATCCGAGTAATCTTCTCCTTTAAACAACAATGATGATCAATTAAGCCATTGATTAGTTATGTTGTGCGGCTAGCAGCCTGGTGTGAAGAAGAGGCCCATACTGCATGAGCTGATGAGCGTGGAGCAGAGCCCTGACATCAAACAGTTGGTACTTGGTAGGTACTCAGTGCAAAGTCAGGACTGGTAGCTGGAGTGGCAGCCGTAGAGAATGACGACGCATCGATCAGCAGCTGATTGGATTGTGCTCAAGCTGAACCTCCAAAACCTCAAAAAATTCACAATTCCATCCTGGCTTGCTCTGATGCTTGTGAGTTGTGATGATTGATGAGGTCGGGCTACCAGCAGCAGCAGGAGGAGAAAGGGATTTCCGCTCGGCTCCTGCAGAAGCAAACGAAGACGATCTCCATCCTGCTGACGCGACGACGCATCTGCAGCATGCAGCGCAGGCTGAGGGGAAGAGCAGCCGGACACCCACTAATCACTTTCGATCTCTCTGTTTGTTTGGTCTGTTTTGCTCTCTCTGTCTGTTTGCTCTGTTTGTGTGTGTGTGGCAGCTAGCATTGCTTGCTTTCTTTATCTTATCTTGCTTTTCTCCACGTCTTAGCACATATCCATCAGTCATCAAAATACCGAATGATCATAGTATGCCACCACCAAAAGATCGCAATTGCAGGTTGGCTGACGCCATAAATAGAGCCTCAGCCTCTGCGTCCATTTGAGCGTTTGAGACCCTTATTTCTTCAGAAAATTCAGAGAAAATTCAGAGTAGTAAAGTAGTATCCGTTTGGTACGCCGCATGCATATTGGGCCGGGAGACCGCACAACGGAGACCGGGCCTTCTGATTCGTGGCCTTTGTGACAATGCAGCCTTTTTGTAAAAAAGAAGGGTTCACTTTAATGCCAAAAAAAACCTTACCAAATTTTGGTATTACCAAAATTTTGGAATAGCTGCCAAAATTTTGGCAACTTACTAAAATTTTGACATGATTTCTTATAGAGTTACCAAAATTTGGCAGCAAACTAAATGTAGGGCTGGTTTGGTTTGAGGCCTAAATTTGGCTTACCAATATTTGGCAATTTTAATAGTGTTTAGTGTCTATTTGGTTTGAAGCCAAATTTTGGCATGCCTAAGAAAATAGGCCATTTCAATAATTAACTTAGGCTATTTTGGCTTCAATCCAAACACAACTTTACCTTCCCAAAATTTGTCATGCCAAAACTTACCAAAATTTGGCATTGCCAAAAATTGGTAAGGCCAATTTAGGTCGCAAACCAAACTGGCCCGTAGCCATTTTTTGTTGACAACTTTACCAAAATTTAGTAAGATTGAAAATGGCATCAAAGTGAACAGACCCGAAAAGGAAGCTGATTGTGGTCAAGCACCACCACCACCACAAGTCAACACTCTTTTTTTTTGACGCAATCACCAATGAAAACGGTATGGAAATTTTCTGACCATACCGATATCGTTTCCGTAAAATTAATATAATAATAATATTTTTACCGATGGTTACTATTTTCAAAATTTAGTTTTTTTAATTTCTGTCAGCGTGGCATTGAAGTTGATGAATTCATAAATATGAAAATTTTACGACTGTTTCTATTTGTCTTTAAAAAGTTAATAAAATAATAATACCGTTTCCGACTATTTCCGACTATTTCCGACCGTTTTCATCCCTAATCACCACTTCACCAGTCAACACTCAACAGATCGATGAGAACTACAGTTAAGACTCTTCATCACATATCACACGACGGTGTGGTTAGCCTGCCAGCAGGTGAACCGTCGCCATTAATCGTGCTAACCACCAGCATTTGTACGTACATATACGGACCACTTCTGCCAGGTTTTGTATTGTACTTGTAGCGAGCATTACGAGTTTAGAACTTAATAGTAGTAGTTCTTTCAAGACTCTCGGTCGTATTGAAGCCAAGCTGTTCGTTTCAAATAACATATTGAACTACTTCCTCGTTTTATATTATAAGACTTTCTAGCGTAACCCATATATATATATATATATATATATATATATATATATATATGTGAATGTGGACAATACTAGAAAGTCTTATAACCTGAAACGGAGGTAGTAATAAGGTTGCAGATTTAGGTCGTAACCATAATTTGATTTTAGAAATTTATGTTAGAGCTGATTTCGGAGTTTTTTTATTTATCTTTTCAGGCTTAGCTTTTATACCACTAAGAACAGAAATATAAAATCATATTCTAAAATTATTTTTATCGCTTTGTTGTAGATATATCAATCTGGTACTCACGGTTTCAGTAAAAAAATTGCTCTCCTTCTCTCTTTTGCAAAACAGTATAAAACATGCTCGAGTAATATCTCTCGAGGGCATGTGAACAATATTTCTACTGTGTGTTGTACTTTTTATGTTCTAAAATATAAGTATTTCTACTAGTATCATCTCGTTTGGCGTTGGACGTCTGACCAGCGCTACTCTGCGCGTTCGGCATACCAGGCATTCTTCCATGGTCAGCATTCCTTTGCCTGTGCTGATCTTCTATGGCACGCAAAGGGTCCTGCTAAATACACGTTCTTCCTTTGGTATGCATTCTAGCAGCGCTGCTGGACGGCTGATCTCCTCCATAAGTGTAGCATCGATAGTCACTTGGCCTACCTTTTTTGTGCTTAGGATCTTGAGACGGCGAACCACATCCTCCTTGACTGTGTGTTTGCTCGGCAGGTTTGGCTCCGTGTGCTGTCACCTCCTGGCTGGGCTGCCCTCTCTCCCCCGTGGCAGCTGGTTACAGGACTGGTGGCTGTCC